TGTTTTTACTTTTTTGCCCGTGGAGTTTTTTTTTTTTTTTTGAGAAAATTTCATTCCAATTACAAATCAGTACAAAGTAGTTGATTCTTACAATCACACTGAAACGCAAACACAAAGGACCATGAACACCTAGAGTACCCTAAGACAACCATAACACAAGAAGATCTCCGGTGCCCTGTGTCGTCATCCTTGAATCTTGAGAGAAGACCCCTGCAGCAGAAGGATTTGCAACCAGTAGCAAACAGCCCGTGGAGTTGATAGATCGAAACAACAGACATCTCTCTGTTCGCCTGATCGTCTCCAGCCTATCCGGTACTACAGTCCAGCAGCGCAGAACCAGCATCAACGCCGGCCGCCGGCTCGACATACGGCCAAGGCGCAGTCGACGCACCCCTTTCCTCACCCCTATCCCGCCTAGCCCGTGTTCCTCTCCGTCCCCGGCTGCACCCCTCTCCCCTTCCGCGATCGAGGCCCGTAGGCACCCCTCTGTCCGCCGGATCTCAGGCGACGTCAGCGACGACCAAGGACAGCGGCAGCGCCACAAGGTGAGTCTTTTCCACAGATTAGTTATCTCTTCTCCTGGTTCTCCATCAATCCACCTTCTCCTCTGATTTCTCCCTCTCTTATCCATCAGCCGTGAGAGTAAGAGGGAGAGAAAGGAGGGAGAGAGAGAGAGAGAGAGAGCATGGGGCAAAGGGGAGATTACTGTGAGAAGAGCCTTATAGGGCAAATGGAAAGTGGGGCATTTCGTTTTATCAAATAGCCCGAGTTCGTCAGATCCGCCTATTCGGAATGGAAATACTAGTGAGGAAACTTCGACTTTGAGTATTTAGCGCAGAAGAAATACTGGATTCCTTGATGGAAGCGCCCGGCTTTGGAAGCCTGGGCCTGATCGTCTGAGGTAGGACACGAGATCTGGGTAGATGCAATGATACCATTTTTTAGCTCTTCTGTAGCACACTGCGGCATGGCAGTAGCAAAGGCAGCAAGCAGTCTAGGCCGCAGCTAGCGCCTAGCAGTAGTATTACTCCCTGTCAGTAACCCTGAACAATCTAGACCTAGAAAAGTGAGTTTGTAACACTGTCTCTCTTTCATTTTGCTATTCGGATGATAAAGATTCTGTTCGTGGTATTATTACTTCCTGTCAGTGTTGCCATGTTTGCTGTAATCTTTGGTCAGGGATTGAGGCTGATTTTTTGCTCTGCAGAACACTTCCTCAGTAATACATTGTTCAGTAGTTCCTGAGGTGCACCATGGAAATTATCATCCTCATCTCACTTGTTGTGCTTCTTGTACTGGGAGCACTCTTTGTTATCCCAAGATCCAAAAACAAAGGTAAAAGGGGGGCCTGACTCGTAATCTTAAGCGAAGGCGACTTCACTTTATTGGCGCTGAGTAAATGTTGCAATGCAGGTGAAGGAAAGGATGCACGTTCAGCCGGAAATGGAACGGTGAATTTCATCCTTCGTATTTGAATACTGTAGTTTAACAAGCAACTTTTTCCTGGAATTGCCAGTTACGTTTGTTTATCTGCGCAGACAAGATTGCCGTTGATTAATCCAAAATGCACTTGCTTTAACATGCAGTTTTGTCTTGAACGTATGCCTTTATGCTTTAGAGTGTTGCTTATGGTTGCTAATCTAATGACAAGTTTGCTCTAGGTTAATCCAAAATGCATGGCATTTTCTGTATTTGCTTACTGATATTTCATATTCAGACATCTACGAGCTATTCAAAGAAAGAGGTGTCAACACACAACACAAGGAAGGATTGTTGGATCATAATCAAGGACAAGGTTGGAACAAAACATTCTACTAGTTTACCAACTGCCATCATCTCGCTTTACCATCTAGTTTGAAATTGGGAAATTTATGTTCTCATATTTGCCATGATCCAGGTTTACGATGTAACTCCATACGTGGAGGAACATCCAGGTGGTGATGCCATTCTAAACAATGCTGGTGGCGATTCGACAGAGGGATTTTTCGGGTTTGTAACATCTCATAAATATTGTTTACATCGTATCCTGTCAACATTGTTCTTAAATGATGATTCGCGTTGATGTTACTGATGTATCACCTGACTGCTCGGGTGTTCATTTACTGCACCTTTCGAGGTTAAACTTATTGAAGATCATTAGTAATTTAGTGATATTTTTGTATGGATGGTAATTCAGTAAGTGACAGGGTTACACTTATGGATCTTTTTACCCCATTTAAATTTTTGAATGTATATCACATTCACTTATGGATCTTTTTACCCCCATTTAAATTTTTGAATGTATATCACATTTTAAATTGCTTAATTGGCCCAACTTAATAAATGCATATAAAGGGTATTTCTGGTTTCCCAGTTGCAACAGCATGCAAAGGCAATTTTGCTCTCATTCTTCCCTTCCATGATTTGCTGTTGCTCGCATATTCCAAGTTATGGTGCAATGATTTTGTTATCTTGAATAGTGCCCATGTATTTCTTTTGTTACCACTGAAACTGTGTGTGTTATAGTCCTCTAAAAAAACCTTTCTTGGTCCATACCCATGATATCTGAGAACATGTGGATGTTGTTATCCAAAGCAAGACAAAAGATATTTGCACAAGTAAATTAATAGATCTAGATGGTGGATGGTCCAAAGGAGAAAATTAAGTTCAAACAACAACACTGATGTGGATGCTTCTTATCCTGATGGGAACGTTTCTTATTCGCTAGCTTTGTCAAGGAGAGCTACATCTGATTTTCCTACTTCTATTTCTATTCCGTTATACTACTTTTCAGGAGCGCGTGAAGCTCGCACATCATTGTATTAAGAACTGTATTCCACATAACTATACTAACCCGACGCGCTTTCAGCCCGCAGCATGGCACACGAGTCTTCGACATCATCGAGGATTTCTGCATCGGCAAATTGGAAGACTGATGATGGGGAGGAGAGGCCGTAAAAGCTCCCAAGTGTGAACCCATGCGCTCGTCTGCAATTTTCTGAAGATGACGACGACGAACGGAACCGTTTCCTAATCGTGATCATGACAGCTCCAGGGCCCCCAGCTGTGTGGTTCTGGTTTCATGTTTGACCTCCTGCTTATTCATACTAGTAGCAGTGTGTGACCCGACCATGGACTATTTCTGTGTCCTGAATGTTTTCCGAGATTTATCTCTTCATTTGAGAAGATACGATTTCTTATACTTATTTATGGAACTTTCTCAGGGCAGACAAGGAACCGGGCCAACTTTTCATATTGATTCCTTGCATGACAGTGAGAGGCTTTACTCCATTCAAAGAAAGCTTTTGCTCAGTCAAGTTTTCCTCTGGTCTTGCCTCAGCTGTCAAAGAATTTCACACTGTTGGGCTTAAGGGGGCACGTATGAATTTTCATGTGGCTCATGGTGTCCATGCCTCCATGAATTCATCTTGATGAACACAGTAGTAATTAGTAAGAGGTGATCATTCATTTTGCTGGCTTTTTTGTGAGATCGTGCAAGACAAGCGTAACAAAAGTGTTCGTTTTATTTCGTGTTACAACTGATTACTCCTTTTTAACTTCTATATAATAGAGTGGCATTCTATGTCCAATATCTCTATCGAAATTACAGTTACTGTCTTACTGATTCCCAAGAGATGGTGAATTGTACGAGATGCAGAACACCAACGACAGATTTTTATTTTCCTTGACATAACAATATAATACAATGCAACGCCCTGGTGGCAAAAAGGAAATGGGGAAAAAAGAATGGGGGTGAAGGAGGGGGAGCACTAATCTTATGTCCTAAATTTTAAACTTGAACTGAGGAAGAACTGGCGTGTTCTTCCCTCCTCTGTCTCTCAGAGGGTGGTCAGTCACCTCCAGCTGCTTCTCTAATCTCTACCACTGCTCATCTTCTCTGTTTCTTTGTTTGCGTTCTCTCTTTGCAAACATCTCATGCGAAGAAGGCAGAAATATCGAAGTTGTCAACGTCCTCGTCGAGGATGTTAACGTCCAAGGCAGAGTCGTCGAAGCCCCAGTAGGAGAAGGCGGCCTCCTCCGTGTCGGCCGGCGGCATGCTCGTCGCCTCCACGAGCGCAGACACCATTGTTTGGAGCTCGGACTGCGCATGGAACGGGGTCATGCACATGTGGTTCGAGCCCGAGGTCGCCGGCGAGGGTTCGAGCGACGTGGGCATCGACACGAAGCAGTTCTCCGGCGTCGACGGCGTGGAGAACGGGTGGTGCTGCTGCTCCGGCGGCGTCATGCCGCTCACGGCCGGCGAGGAGAAGCTGAAGGGCGTGGTGGCGCTCCAGCCCTGCGCTCCCGCCGCCGTGAGCCCCTCCGTCTTCACCGTCAGGTTCGAGCTCAGGCTCTGCAGAAGGCTTTCCGCGTCCGGGTTCTTGCCGGCCGGCTGCACCATGCCCGCCGCCGCCGCCGCCGTCTTGTGAACGCAGGTGTGCTCGCCGTGGTAGATCACGTCGAAGAGCGCCGGGTCGTCGTCGGCGCGCTGCACCTGCTTCGTCGCCGCGCATCCCTGGGTCTTCTGGTACGTGCAACGGTAGTATGCCCTGCAAAATTGTGCACGATCCAGGTCAAGCACGGCGCAAAAAAGAACACCATGGCGGCACGTCCAGTTCTCAGCCCTGAACTCTTTTCCTTTTCTCAGAAAAGTTTGCGATTCTGAAGCCAGAACAAAATTACTACTAGCGCAAAGTACTATCATCACGCCATCACTCGTCCAATAGGAGCAGCTCCTTTCGGAACATATCCAACCGGACGCCGTGCGCTCGCTACCCTATTCCTATCAGTTTTGCTAGATTGATCTCATTCACCTTTTATAGCCATTGGATGTGGTGCTATAAGATGCGTGTGTGCTGACGTGGGTTGTATCCGTTCTTGTTTTTCAGATGAATGAGACCAAATTACGTCTCATCTAGATGAGTTCTAGGTACTCCCATTCTTATCTGACATGTGGACGCCATGAATTCGGGAACAGTGTTCCAAATCCAAAGGAGAGATCTCCATGATTGCGTTGCCACTTCGGAAAACAGGTGCGGATTACTATTTGAAATGAGAGATGAACTTTGGCCGAAATGCGGCGAGACCAACCTCGGGTGCTGGGCTCCGAGGATCTCCTTCTGGCCGTACTTCCTCCAGCTGCGGCCGTCGTCGACCGGGGCGTCCGCCCCTTCTCCGGCCGAGCTCACCCTGATCTGACGCCCCCCTTTCTCCGAAGTCTTCCTGCGAATCCAAGAACAAACCAATCACTCAATAATCCAGCAAAAAAAAGAAAGAAATATTATGATTGATGAATCCTGAAACAATTTCTCTGCAGCTGCAAGGGGTTTTGGCTCACCTCTTCTTGTTGGGCTTGAAGGGCGTGTTGGAGACGCCGCTGAGGGGGCTGGGCGTGGCGGAGAGCGGCGGCGAGTCGAGGCCGGCGCCGGCGGCCGAGCGCTTGGGGCCGTTGAAGTGGCCGGACCTGATCATGCCGATGGACCGCTCGGTGACGGCGAAGATCTGCTGGGCGAGCAGCTTGCAGAGGTCGGGCGAGCCCCCCAGGTGCACGTCCAGCTGCTTCACCAGCTCCTTGATGTGGCTCAGCTCCGTCACCACCAGGCCGCTCCCTCCTCCATTGCCCTCATGCACGGCCTCCATCTCTCTCTGCTCGGAGCTTCTTTCTCGCCGGTGTAGGATTCCTCTCCGATTTCTCAGAGCAAATGCAAGATCGGAAGGGTGTGTGTGAGTGTGTGCGTGTGTGTGTGTGGAGAGAGCGGAGGAGAGGCGAAATGAGGATGTGATCGGGGAGAAGGGAGGAGGTGTATTTAATGGGGGGAGGAACCGCGTCCGGGAGCAGAAACAAGAGGACAGTGACCGCGGCGAGCTTAGTGGCATGCCCAACCGGGCCGGAGTTAATGGATTCCTAGATAGACGGTTGCTAGCAAAGCCCGGGCCCTGCAGGAGCTTGGACAATGGACAATGGTTTATTAGTTTGGGCCAACTGCACCTGCACCACAGCAGCAAAAATGTTGAATAGCAAAAGAAATTTCCCTTTGGCTTTGTTTTCACAGTAGAGTCAGGGATTTTCATAGATACTATTTCAGAGAAATTTAATTCATGACTGGAATCTTTCCTGGGGGAGGCGGGAAACCACCCAATTTTCTTATGGATAACAGAGGAGTAATCCCCCAAATTTATATGCACTGCCCCAAGGATTTCCAACAAGAGGTGGTCCCATGCAACATTTTCTCTCTGCCTTCCATCCCATGGACTGTCTTTCTCTTAAATTTTCTGTAAAATTCTCATATAGAATCTTACGGGCTATATTCATGCTTTCGTGTGTTTTAGTGTTCTAAAAACCGCAAAGCCACGACATCATCAAAAGGAAATAAGAATGGGACAGGCAATTCAATCTCGAGACCTATTGGCTATACACGCGTTTGGATTCTTCTTCTTAATAGCAACGGCAGACGTTGTTGATGCCCGGCTTTCCGAAACAAGACGGCGCGCCTTGTGAAAAGCCCCGACTTCATGTTGCAAACCATGGCGGCTACATGCATGACTGTACATGGATGGACGCGTACGCATGCATACATGTCTTCTTTCCTTTGCCACTCCTAGAGGCCACATACATGCAAAGTAAGTCGCCGTGATAGGCTGATAGGCACCCATACACGCTCAAGGCAGGCATATGTGACGTGGTGGCCTTGTCTTGTTCATACCGGGGATATGATGGGCCGAATGGTGCATGGCATGGACGCATGCATGCAAGGTTGGTTCCAACCGTCGCTTTCCCGCGCGCTCGGCGATGCTTCTTCTTCTTCTTTTTTTTTGAAGGCTCGGCGATCAGCCAGGGAAACCGACACTTTTGGTTGTGAATTTGTGATCTTGTGGCGAGACCGTGAGCCCGCTTTTTCGCTCAGTTCCACACTGACAGCAATGCCGTCGATGATGCGGCTGATATCTCAACAAGATCAGCCAGGGAAAATATGCATGGCAGCTGATATCTCTTCTTCCAGCAGTATATTCTGTCTCTTTTACACCAGCTGTTTTCTCTGGCACTGCTACGTTCATGGTAGTACATACCACATAGTATATCTTCGATCGGATGTTGGGAGTTTGTTCCCAGCGTGCAGAGGGTAGGTAAAATCCACTTTCCTTTGGGAACGGAATATCGAGAGGGTCTTAATTAAGTTGTTTCGTACGACTCCTCGACAGCACCCCACTACACTCCACCCTGACTCACTGATCAATGTCATGTTGGTACAAGATCTTGTAGTATTACTGGTCTTATACAGTGATTTCATATGATTCCTTACTAATAAAATTGTTACTTAGACGGTGACTTTAGTCTTACTGTTGTATGATTTTGTAAGGTCTTTTGAGAATAATTAATAAAGTGGCCGGATGCATCGCCCCGATGCAGAGGCCGGGGGTCCTCCTCCTTTTCTAAAAAATTATATGACTTCTTGGCAACCCCTCCGGGTGTTGAAGATATTCACGGATGGCTGTTAGGCCGGCGCATATAAGAGTTGTTGCTAGTTTGTTATAGAGCAAAGATAGCTTTGTATTCTGTTAAGATCATCTCTATCTCCTCCATCCGTTGTACTCCAAGAATTGTATGCGCAACATGGGATAATACCATGCGGCCCTCTGGCGAGAGGGTAGAAGGCTTCCATAACAAATTCTATATCCAGTACATCGGTAATAAATAGTGATTGTCTGTTACAGTATGTGTGTATGTGCCGGTGTTAATCAGGAAATGTTGCTACTAAAAGCCCGTTCGGAGGCTCTCCACTCCACGACTCCCTCCCGGAGCGGCCGGAGCCATAGTTGAAAATTATGGAATGGGCAAAGAGGTACTCCGCAGATCCTTGTATTCTGCGGAGCTGGGGCAGTGCCGAACAGGGCCTAAGCTTGAATGTAACAACCCCATCATCATCTTCATCTCCTAACGGGTCGAACACGATTGGCTTGGTGAGTATAGGCATCCACAACAATCTTAGGCCAGACAGGGGAAGGAGAGAGAGATGTGGAATATTAAGCTCAGTTGCCGATGATGCTGACCAATTCAATGTTGCCCCTTTGCATGCCTGAACCAGGAACCGCATTAGCAGTTGCTCCTACAATCATATACAGTACTATATATCGATCCAGTGGGCGATATCTTTATAGAGACGGAAACCATAAAGGACTACCGGAACCACGGATTAATATTGTAATCCAAGAGTTGTTGTTAGCCATGGGGATCGGATTAATATCTTCATCTAAAAAATGCGTTGTTTCTTCATATAGGTCTACATACATATAAATATTCTTATGTTGCTTTTGATACTGTAATCTTGAACCATGTTATGCTATGTGGTCCTGTGCGTTCAAGCATTTCTTCCGCCGTTATTCAGGTCCGATCCCTTGAGGTCTTTTTAGATCTAGCTTGAATTCATTAATCTGCATTATCTTAATTTTGTCGCATATTCTTCAATGGAAGCAGTGCTTCCGAGCGCGCGTAGGCTAATTAATTCCTTCCTGCATAATGGAAATTAGCACTGTTACTAACAAGATCAGTTCTTGGAAGCGTGTACCAAGCTCATATGGGTCATTAAAATGGTCTATGTCTATATATTCTGTCTCTTTTACAATACACCTGCTGTTTTCACTGGCTGGCAGCGCTACGTTCATGAATGGTATTATATTCGAACGTTGAGAATTTGAGGATAGGTAAATCTACCTACGTTCTGAAAGGAATATCGACATGGTCTTAATTAAGTTGTTTCGTATGACTCTTTGACAGCACTCCACTACACCACACTCCACTCTTTTTTTCTTTTTTCTTTTTGCGGGGCACTACACTCCACTCCGATGAGTGTGATGTTCCTACACGTAATCTTGTATTACTGGTCTTATATGGTGATTTCATATGACTTTTTCACACATATGATTTCAATAATATGACTCCTTCACAACTCCTCGGGTACACTGATGAATGGTATGTACTCCAGTAATTATCTGTTCTATTTCTATTACTTACGACAGTGTTAATCAATAAAATGGTGCTCCTGAGCTTGAATGTAACAATCCCATCCATCATCTCCTAACGGGTCGGTCGAACATAATTGGTGAGTGGTAGCCATCAACCCGCTCACATGGCCCGCCAACGCCGCAACAATCTTAGGCCAGGGAGGAGAAGGAGATGTGGAATATTAAGCTGGGTTGCCGATGATGCTGACCAGTTCAATGTTGCCCCTTTGCATGCCTCAACCAGGAACCGCATTACAATCATATACCATATCGATCCAATGGACGATATCTTTATAGATACGGAAACCATAAAGTACTACCAGAACCGCAGATCAATATCGTAACCCCAGAGTGGTCGTTAGCCATGGGGAATTAGTTTATGTGTACTGCTATTGTTTATCTTCATCTAAAAAAATGCGTTGTTTCTTCGTCAATATTCTTATGTTGCTGTTGATACCGTAATCTTCAACCATGTTATGCTGGGTGGTCATGTGCGCTCAAGCATTTCTTCCGCCGTTATTCAGGTCCGGTCCCTTGGGCTCTTTCAGGTCCAGCTTGAATTCATTCATTATTCTGCACTATCTTAATTTCGTCAGCATATTTATTCTTCAATTGTAGTAGTGCTCTCCGCGCGCGTAGGCTAGTTAGTTCCGGCGGAATGGAAAACTGGCACTGTCACTAACAAGATGAGTTCTTGGAAGCGTGTACGTACAGATCATACGGATCATGATCTTGTCAATTCAGAGCGAGTACGTGGTGCAGATGTTCAACTGGGCGGAGAAAGTTTCCGTTTTGCGTCATGACACATGGCAACTTATGTCAGCTTAATCTGTGATCATGCATATTAGAAATGGAAAGAAAAGGTTAACGTCTTTGGTCGTAAAGCGCGCGCCCGTCTCTAGTCTAGTGGGACTAAAAAGAATTTGGGGCTTTGATGATGAGGGGAGAAGTCAGAGTTAGCATCCCGTAATCCCCATCGGCGAAGCAACCTCGAAGCTGACCGGACGGAGGAATCTTCAAGCCTCAGGCGCGTTAGCGTCACGCCCGTGACGTCGGAGAGGGGAGGGGAGAGAGAAAGCCCGGCCGTGCCCATCGGTCGCATCATTCATTCGTGGCTATGCATGGCTAGCTAGATCCTCACAAGATACGTGTGTGTGTGTGTGTGTGTGTTTACCTTGGGTTTGATTAGATTTTGAAGGCATTTGATGTAGAGTTCATGCTACTATCTTGGATTTTGTTTGGCATGTAGAAACTTCCTGGGAACTGGAGTGAAAGCACAAAAAACTATTGATTGAAGAATACGTATATTGTAGCAGTATATGATTTTGTTACTCTAGTAGCTTGAGAGGCGAACATAAATTCTATTGGAAGGATGATAGGTGATACTAGCGCGCAATATCCTAGAGAACTTGGTAGTAGTACCTCCACCCTCCTAAGTAACAGAAGCGCCCTAACACACATGATGATGGGAGGTAGACTATCAGGCGGGGCTAGGTACGGGATAGGATAAGCTCAGCTGAAACCACATGTGCAACACATAAAACAAAAGTAATTTGAACCCATGGCCTCTCAGCACGACAATGACAGAGCGTCGCTGATGCGATGAGTGGGTGGGGGCAAACTGCCAAAAACAATAAGTA